TCGGATGATTCTTCAGATCAGCAAGCGTAAAATTTGCATTGAAATCCTTGCGCATTCAAGCAACAAGCTAGAAAGCACGCACGGAGGATAGACCGTGTGCGAATAAATTGGATGAATCCGACGGTGGACGTATATCAGTTTCTCGGCACAAGATCCTAATTAGGTTTAAAGCTGAACTATCTTTCTACATGTGAAGATTCTCACCACCGCAGTCCAACATGGCAGTTTTCTCGCGCAGGAAAACTCTGTCCACCGAATTGGAACTTGGGACAAGTATGTGAAAACCTCCCATTGGACCCGAGGACACTTGTACTTACAAAAACCGTCATCTCCAATGAAACCACGCACAGATAGCAGAGTCACCTAGGAAGATAACATCCCCCGAGCAAGATTCATCAGTTGCTTTAAGCGCCATCGGCCAGTCGCATACGGCACTGTACACATTTTCAACTACTGCTGCTTTCAGTCTTCCACGCACATCATCACCGGTGTTGGGAGCAATGACTTGACAAACAGGAGTGAAGTTCGAGAAGAGCGCATTGTAGCATCACTCACATTCAATATCTTCTTTGATTTCTTCCAAAAAGGGAGATAGGAGTTCTTCGTTATGAACAGGGTGTCGCATGGGCAAAAAAAAGTGCAGCAAGCCCGCTTCGTCGCCCAGGGTGGCAAGTTCAGCCAAGTTATCTCCTTTCCCAGTCACAACGACTGAAGTGGGTGAATTCAGCAGCGCAATATATACGCGAGAGGCACATTAGTCAGTTAGTGCTCAAACTTGACTAATGGCAGTGGCAGGAAATGATAGATTCCATCAAGGAGGTGCCCTTTGGGCACTTTCAGGAAATGCTCTGACAAGAGCAACTGCATTCCTAAGCGACATGGCCAAGCCTAACTTGCATTTGCACCGCATCTCAGAAATGTTCGAAATTCCAGTAGCAACGATTGCGGCAACTGAAAAACCCGCGCTGTGGCCTGTCGTAGCGACCGGATTATCACCCAGTTTGAAGCTAGTTCGATCATATATATGCTATAACCTCAAGAAACCAAGCATTAGAATAACTGGACTCTAGACAGTTGGCAGGCCCGTGTCCCAATCGCTGGGACTGTCAGTTATCTTCGGTATCGTCCACAGGTTGGGTGTCTCACCAACCTCTGTCAATAGCTCCTGATAGTACTCGAAAAGTTCTTTCGCAAGCACGTCTGTCTTTACACATTCTAATATCGCATTCCACGCATCTGCAGGATCTCCGCCCAAACCCTCGAAAATCATTGCGGGATCATCGATCGTAGATTCAAGTTCACACACTGAACGCAGCTCATCGACGACCAACGCTAGCTGCCTTCCGTTGTTCACGGCCTTTATCAGGCTGACATCGACGCTCAGTCACTGCTGTAACTTCGTCGTGATTTCGTCTTGAACATTTGGAAGGCTATCATTTAGGATACGCCGCAATTTGGGGAGGGATTCCGCCTAGCTACTGCCAGTGATGGATGACAAATAGGCAACAAGTGTACTAATATTCGGTGTGTCGTAAAGCTACGTAACTGGCATCTGGACTCGGTAAGCCCTATTGATTTCTGCTACCAGACTTGGAATCAGTTTCGATTTGAACCCCATGGAGGTAAAAGAGCGACTGTCGTCCAGTTGAGCCCTGGGTAGATGTGCGAATGAA